ATGCACAAAGTTACCATTGTGCCTCAAGTCTTAGGATTAGTCATGTACTATTGTAATATGAAAATACTTATTCGACAAGACAAATCTTTCATTAAGTATTTTCATACGGTCATGTTCAGTGTACTTGTTCTCTAACAAGCACCCACATATATGTATTTGCGTCGCACGCTAATGTTGATGGAATGCAACATTCTTGTCCAACAAGCATACATACTATGTGCAAGTCTTTTATGGTTTATTCGATATCCCATTTCGAAAAATCCTTCGACTTGGAACTTTATTTAAAATCACAGCTTTCAAGGTATGTTCCATGATCACCATCTCTATACGCAACTATACATTATAACCATAAGTGATTTAAGGATTTTATCTTAAGTGCGATTATAGGATAAAAACTTACTCTTAAGATAAAGTAATGCCTTATTTACAATATAATTCCAATAGATAGTATTTACAAGTAGAATACGTCCAATCCGATTGGAACGCCGGATATCCTACTCTAACAAAAAGCTCTATGTCGGTTGCTGGGGATTACTCGTGCCCAAACCCGTTTCAACCAGAACATAGCCACTCGGATTCACCGTGTCCGCCTTCGTGCCGCACTGCCCATGCTACCTCTGCTAGAGAATACGAAGGTGTGGCACGATCTTCACTTCTTTTTGGATCCCGACTGATTTCCTCACAGGTTTCGTAAGCGAATGACGTTAAACAAGCTCTTCTTGGGAGGCAACTCAAGCATCATTTATTGCTTTCTAGGATATTTTCCATTTTACCTTTTTGTTTTATCATTTTAATAATTGGAGTTTGGAGTTTTTGTGGTTTATCTTGGCAGGACATGTCGAGGACTGGGTTGAGCATGGGCAAATGGATTGCACGTGAATGCTTATTCCCCTCGATGCTACTTCGGTTTTCACACCCTTTCATGTTTATCTTTTTGAGTTGTTTCTCCCTCATATGTTTTCGTTTTAGTCTTGTGTTCTGTTGTTGGTTGCTAGTATTGGTCCATGATGTGAAATTGCCAGGTCTTGTTATTTGTCTTCCTGATTATGTGTTGAAGCAATGAGGACATTGCCTCATTTTAAGTGTGGGGAAAGTATAATCAGATTTTGCATGCTTATGTGGTGGACCGGTCTAGATTTTAAATTTTCGTGTTAAGCATGTAGTATTGGTGAATTATGTGATTTGTTGATGAAAGTTTGACAAAATTGGGAAGTTGTGATGACGGTCGTTTCATCATTGCCTCGATATTTGCTTGATTACTTTTGAGTGACATTTATTTGCCTTGTGAGGTTTTGATCCTTACTCTTCTCTCATGTGAGATATTGGTCATATTCTTGAATGATTAGAACATGCCTTGAGTTTGTTTGAAAGGAATCAATTAGAGTTTAAAATTGCGAATATGATTGAGACGCTTTGTTTGAATTAGCTCTTTTTAGCCTTGTTTTTTGATCCCAAAAAGAATTTTCACTAGCAGCCCGTTTGAGCTTTAAGCCTTCTTCTTGTCAGTCGTACACAAAATATATTTTGTTGACTGATTTGGTGATGATTGGTGAAAATAGTGTTGTTGTTGAATGAGGTGAATTGGGTTGGATTTCTATTGCTTAACCTGATTAAAAATAATGAGAGCTCACAGGACGAATCGAATGGATTCTGCTCCTCTTACTAGTCGATTTATGTTGGCGGGTAATGAGCATTGGGAAACTACTGTAGGACACTTGTATGACCTTTAATGTTCACACCTACAGAATGTTGTCCTTTTGATTCGATCTTTTTCGAAAAAAGTTACTCTCCAAAGAAAAAAATAAAGAAAAAAAATTGGTCAAGTATTGCAATTTGATTAGAGCAATTAGGTGTTGTGTGTGATGTTTAGGTTGGGTGGTAAGTGTGTTGTCATGTTTACTCAGGATTAGTAGTGAAGAACTCGAGTAATCTATTTGCTCGACAATTGTGATTGTTTATTTGAACTTGTTTTCTCGTATATATATCCTTACCTTAAGCCCGCATTATAACCCGTGAAGCCCTCTTGATTCCCATCTTTTGAGCTTTGATTGTTTTCAAGTAATTTAAACGATTGGCAAGCGTATGTAAAACTTGAACATCGACCAATTTTGAGCGTACCTATCACATATTCATGTAAGAAAATGAGTAAAGCTTATATTACAATCTATGTGTTTGAAAGTTCGTCATTTCAAGGCCAAGTTGATATTTGAGGCATATGGTCGTACGGTCGTTGGAATTCGACTCGATTGAGTTGGGCATTTGAGGCTCTTCTTATTTGAAACTGTATTCTTTCTCGTGTCTTATTTTCTTTTCATTTTGTTTGGGACGAACAAAAGGTTTAATTGTGGGGAAGTTTGTCCCATTTTTGTTGTGTTTTTCCTTGGTATTTTT